ATTTTACAGTGACTGTAGAAATAGTCTAAAAAGTTTTGCTCGAGACTGAAGCATTATAGTCACTAGTTCTTTATTAAAGATGCAAATGTGAATAACCATAAAATAACTAGACTAAAGGTTCTGGACTCAAGAATCTATAACTTATAACCCAAAGCCAAAAAGACATTTTCTCAAAATGTAAAGGACAGGGTAACTCATACAAATGGTTTTGAGCTCTTGTTTTACAACAAATTTCACAATGCTTATCAAATATTATAAATTTAAGCATAAAATAAACAATATTTATTATTTATATTATAGCAATTCCTAATTTTCTTAATTCATCTGTGTAGGCATCCTTATGTTCATGCACACCCAAGAACCTAAAATGAGAAAATACATCTGGAAAAAGCTCTAAATGGACAAAAAAACCCTGTCAACCTAGAATCCTATACACAGAGAAAACATATTTTAAAAAATCAAAGGTGAAACAAAGACTTATTCAAATATACAAAGTGGAAAGAATTCACCACCAGCAGACCTGGTGATAGAATGGTAAAAGACATCTGTCAGGCAGAAGAGTAATGCTGAGTGAAAACACGTATCTCACAAAGGAGTAGAGAACGCGGGGAACAGAAGACAGGGGAGCTACAAAGCATTCCATGCAACACGAAGAGTGGCAACAGATATTTGGCTGGATTTGCTCTCCAAATTCAGAGACCAGCGTAAGAAAGAGATATCTCACAATTAAAATGCAGGTCTCTGATACATAATTCTCCCTGCCTGCCTTAATACAGAGAGCATTAAGAAGATAAAGAGAGCTTCAAATTATTTGATTATTATTTTCATTAAAAGGATATTAATTAAAATTTTTTTTCTCATTTCAAAGTGATATTCATTAAAGAAAGGATCTAAAAATCTGATACACAATTAAAACAAGGAAATTAAAGCCACCTTTAAATTAGAAAAGACGGAGAAAGGGAGAGAAGTCCCACAGCTTTTGCTATTTAATATGAAGGGCATTTCAATTTACCTTTTTAGAGGTAAGTTGTATGGTGATTAACATGGAGACAAACTCAAGAAACTATAAAAATGAGCAGAAGGAGGAGGAGAGGCAATAAATGACTTAACAGGGGTGAGAGGAATAAATAATACTAGTTACAAAAAAGGGCACCAGCTCAGGGTGACTGCAACCAAGGACTGACCCCACAACCCAGAAGGTCATGAACCAGCAGCGCATTCACCATGTAAGTGGTTACTATGGTAGGGAAAGAATTTTGGCATCTGATACCCACTTTGCTTGAATTTTTTACCCTGAGAGAGGGCAACTGTTAGATGCAACTTTATAAAGTAGTAACTGATAATATCTTTCAAATCTTGGCTCATAATTAAAAGAGCAGAAAAGAAGGGATGAGTCCTGGTGGTAAAAATTAACTGGATAGTTTCTCTGCATCAGACCATCACAGAGTAGAAAGATTACAGATAACACACGCTTTCCAAAATTTTTCCAAAATAGCAGAGGAAATACCTGTTTATCCCTGGATATACTGTCTACTGGAATGTGGAAGGTAGCTGGCCACTTTGTTAAAATGTCCTGTGTATATTCATAACATTATTGCAGCAAAAATTAATGTTAATAACTTAATATTATTTTAATAAAAATTTAGAACAAAGTGTAAATGGCTATCATGCCACTCAGCTAGATTACCAGTTACCCTCTAAATTACAAGGCAAAGTAGCACACTAAAAGAGAGAGAAAAGAACAGAAAAGGAAAATGTTAGGTCTCAAGAGTAAATGTCTTGAAAGCAACTGAAACACAGGTATTCACTTATTCAACAAATATTTACTGAGCATCTCCTACATTTCAGGTGTCATATGAAATGATACAAACAGACATGAAGACAAATTCAGAATGTTAAGATATCATATCGAATAGTAAGGGAGACCCAAAACTTTTTAACTATACTAGATACTCAGGAGATAAATATCCATGGTAAATTTTAAAAACTACTCAAAATGTGATTAGTTTCTGAGACATTAGGAAGGGGTAAAAACATCACAATAAAAAAGGCTTCTTGTATCAGGGGTGGTAAGGGAAGAGGAGGGGGAAAAGAATTTTCTCTATATATCTGTTTATTTGACATACCTTGAAGGAAGTTGAACCAAATCTGAGATAACACTGACATAATTTTCTTAAGGAAGAGTTATTAAGAAGCTAGAAAGCTATAAGCTATAAAGCTTATATAATATAGCAAGCTAGAGAGCCATAATACAGACTCAGTCTTTTAAAGCTAAAAGGAACATCTAACCTGGAACTTTGATTTGTTCACAACTGATGAGTTCTGAAGAGTAACTTTCCCCAGGCCACATGGTGATTATTTTAGTTGCAGTTTAAACTATATATAAAGTATCACATATTCTATATAGGAAAATTAAATATTCCATATTTGCTGAAATAGAAACACAGACTAGAGCCATTCAACCCTTTGATGTATATTAATTCTAAATTTCTTGAGAGAGAGAAAGAGGAAAAAAGAGAGAGAGAGATGGGAGTGAGGTGGGAGAGAGATGAAAAGAATGGAAAACGTATCTGCATAAGAATGGCATTATACTCAACATACTGTTTTGTAAATCCTTAATACAATATATTTCTATATCAGTAAGTAAAAATAACTTTCTATATCAGTAAGCATACAATATATTTCTGTATCAGTAAGTATACATGTATTGACTGGAGACAGCAGCCAAAATGTTCCTTTTGTAATTTTTTTATACTGATAACTTTTAAATAGTAAATTTTAAATGCTATACAAATGAGTACACCTTTAATGGTGGAGATAAGTATAATAACTTAAAAGATGTGAACACTTCCATAGACATAATAATGTGACCACTTATTTTCAAATATATATATATACACATAAGTGTGTATATATATATACAGGTCACATGATCCCAAAGAGTCTTCTCATTTCATTACCTTTAGCTGTCTTTTTTAAACTTATTCACTGAGGCATTTATTAAGTATCTATATAACAACAGCAGGATTACTGTACTAGGTAAATATTCATTTAGAAGGTTTGAGGAAATGCACACTGGGACGGGTAAAGCAAAGTTCTCATATCAATGTCAATATTAAAACTACACAGGAGAAAACATCAGTAAACAGGTTAACATAAAAGAAACCTAATTTTTAAAACGAGTGACGCAAAAACAAACAGTTCTGAGTTTAGAAAACAGGAATTGACTAAACTGATTGATAACAAATTTTCTTTTTTTCTTGAATGAATTGCCTTCTCACTATTTTAATGGTGTCTTTTGGTGAACAAGAGTACTTAATTTTATTTATTTATTTTTGGTCACCCAGCATGTAGGATCCTAGTGTCTAACCTGGGACTGAACCTGCACCCACATTGGAAGGGCGGAGTTTTAACCACTGGACCACCAGAGAAGACCTCAAATTTTCTACTTTTTTTGTCTTTAAGTCAATTTGTGTTTCAATTTGGCTTTGGGGCCCATTTACTTAAGAGAGGTGATTGATAATAATTAATATTGTTTGAATATTAACAATAAGAATTATTCCCTAACACTTTAGAATGATTTATATTTTTCATGAAACATTAAGAAAAGAGACATAGATTTTTGCAAACAAATTTTAACTCACTTGGAAGAAAGATTCTAAATTAATAATAGGAAATACTACTACCATAACAAAATATAATATTTTATGGGAATATTTTATTTCACAGGGAAGCCTGGCATGCTGCAGTCCATGGGATTGCAAAGGGTTAGACACAACTTAGCAACTGAACAGCAACAAGTATAGAATCCATTTAAAGAGCAAAGAAATTATTTCCTTCACCACTTTGAAAAGGAGTAAGACAATAAATTATTTTTAAACACAAAATATTAATAGCCCACTTTCTTTGTTTTAAGTATAACACCTAGTAGTCAGCTGAAGATTCACTCAAAACACTCATTTCAGGCCTTTTTTGTTCAAGTGTTATGGGAATACAAATAAGGATACTGGTAAGATGTGATCGCTAACCACATAGAAAGAGATAATAATGAAGGTGTGGCTTCCTATTTAAATAAATCAATTTAGTTCCTCTTGGGAAACATCTTTGGATATCAATATGTTCTTAGAATTACAAAAGAAATACTAATACTATTGGTTTCACTGGAGATTCACAAATGATTTTCAACATTGTTTATTATTTCTAGATAAGATGGTGAAAGTAGTACAAATTTAAACCTTGAAAAAAAATCAAAGCCAGTTATTAATATTTAATTTTCCCCAAAAAAAGATGATATTTCATTGATTTTGGCACTCATATTTTTGAATCTACTTTTATTTCTACTGCCAATCCTCTGGATCATCCCCAATTTGATGCATCAGTAACTAGGTAAGGTTTAATTAAAATCTTTAAAGATACTTATAACTCATGATGATGAAAGCTCAGACAAAATATGAACATCTGATGCTCTGGTGTGTATCCAATTATCCCAAGAGGATGTTTAACCCTCTCCGAGAGATTCCACAGGTCTAGATGGTACTCAAGAACCAATGTTTTTAGACAACACATTTATCTCCACAATCACCATCACTGCAGAATCCAAGTTCCTATTCTCTCTCCTACTGCTGTCATTTTCAGAAGTGCCAGAACTACAATCATTTGTCTTGATATTTTTCAAGTGAAACTATATGCCGATCTCCATAGTACATATTGTTAAATGATGTATACCATGTTTCTGATCACTGTCCACTAGCTAGACAGATGAATGGATATATACAGAGGAAGACAGATATACATAACAGACCCATCCACCTGTTTATCTAATATAAAGAAATATATTCTGACAACAAATCAGAAAGTAATTCAAACGTCTTAACATTTTCCACATCTGAGACACACTCTGAAATTCTGTTCTAAAAAATCAAAAGAAAGTTACCAATGAAAGAAATTCCCAGAAACATTTCCCAGAAGATTTTAGATGTTAACAACAGTAGCTGGTTTACCTGCCATCTCGCTGAGCAGCACCACCTTCTGTCACTGTCTTGACAAATATTCCCAGCTTTTCAAGGCCTGCATCTGCTCCAACACCCATTCCAATAATACTTATGCCAAGTCCATCCTCATCTACGAAAAAGGAAAAAAGTGAACAACCTTAATTTTACACTCATCCATAATTAGCTTCTGAGATCTATTTGCTGCATTTAATTTTGTTCTTTGTGAACCATACTGACATGTTTGCTTTGACAGAATTTTATCCTACGCTGGGGAGCAAGGATGTTAAATAAGATCCCTTAAAAGGCTCGTTAGTTTTTTTTCATTTTACTATTGCAGTTGGCTATTCATTGTGATCCCTGGAAAAGGTAATAACTTGATTATTGAGCAATCAATCTATCTGAAAACACGGCCTAACTAAATAATACAATATTTTTAAGCACAGAGCATACATACTCACACATATATGTATGTTTGACTATATAATTTTAAATTAACATGATTATAATACATCTGGAATTTTTCATCTATTTATGTGGTCTTCTTTTTCTTTTTTAACTTGGGCCACATCCCCATCCATGTTAATAAGATGGTAGGTATCTCTCAATATTTTCCTCTGTTCTACTACACAAGCATATAAACATATGATAAGATAAAATATACACATATATGTGCATATAATTGAATATACATATTATATAGCGTTTAATTTTCCTTCTTATTTCCTTTACACAAACAAGATCATATTATACCTACTTCTCTCTGCAGTTTATTTTTCTGATCCAATGATAAGATATCACCTTATATAGCCTTAAATCACTTATAATGCATAACAGTTCATGGTGAGAAGGTGTCATCATTTATCTAACCATTTCTCTACAAACAGGCATTCACTTCTGTTTCCATTTTATTGGACCTTTGAACAATACTGACAACCACATTTTTAAATTCAGATACAATTCTCCTTTCTGTGAACACATATATTTTAACATTAATGAAATAAAAGAGACACTATTTGCATTCCACATTTTTTGGTTAACATCCAAAGTTGTTTTCTGACAGCCTCAAGGTCTCCATAATAATGGTGCATTAGCTGTATAAAAATAGATATTAACTAATCAACTGTGTTGGATTGTTAAAAAAAAAAAACTGGCTCAGGTGCTCAATAGAATGTTTCATGCTTTTAAAAGACTCTTTAGCAATAACCTTTAATTTGCTAAGTATTCCCAGCTAGTAATTTTTTGAATAGGGTTCATCTCATTGATTATTACTTATTACTAGCTCTGTTTTAAGTATTTTTAAGTACAACTCAATCCTACATCTTTAGTCTACATATGTTTAAAAATATGTCATTTGGCAAAAGTGCTACGTCTTTGCTCAGTTGTGTGCTAAAGAAAGCTAGTATAGAGCTTGCTGTGCCAGCTGAAGGCACATCTACATTGATTCCAGGCGTAGGTACCTGTCCAGTGTGAGAACTGTTGACTAAATGAGTGATTACTGGAGACCTTCCTCCATTCCTTACATTTAGAATATTTGCACACATCATTTTCCGTATTTATTACTTTCTAATTGTTTCCCTGGTATAAGTATTCATATTCATCAAGAGGTATTCTCTTTCTAAAAATGTCTCTACATTCACTATAGCTTTACTGTTTCTCCCTAGAACGAGGTTTCTTATGCACATGAAGGTCAGGTCTGTGCTGAAAGCTCTTCCTCATTGGTTACATGTATACAGCTGCTTCTTTTACACAAATTCTCTTATGTGTATAAAGGTTAGCTGTATTGCAGAATTACTGCACATGTTTATCACTTTCATAGGATTTCTCTAGAGTGTGAATGTTTATATTTACGAAGGGATTAATAATGCCCCAAAGCCTTCCCAGTGTTTACATTCAGTGAGTTTGCTCTTGTGTTGTTTAAGAGATGATCGCTGTAGACTTTTCCACATTGAATAATGTTGCAGGGCTTCTCTTCTATATGAAATCTTTGGTGAATATTAAGTATTAGGGGGATTCTTGTTCGTATTCATTGTATTTATAGAACTTTTGTTCATTACAAATCACCACATGTCAAGCCAACGTTAAGTTCCCACACTCAGTATACTCAAAGGGTTCCTCTCAAATGTGGATTCTCTGTACTAACATGCCATTTAATAGCTTCTTCCAACAAATACCCTGCATAAAAATTACATCTTAGTTTTTAAATCCATTTTCTCTGCCTGGACTCAGGTTTTAGTAAACTCATCTCCCTTCCTTTCATGGCTCCTCTTGACGCTCTAACTGGAAAATTACACAGTCTTGCAAAGATGAAAATGCAACTGTGGGCAAAGCAGTATGTTGGCTTGAGCCACCCTCAACTCATGCAGACCACCTGAAAGACATGTTGACAACTGAAAGAAAACTAAAGGAAGCGTACAATCAACCCAGAGACGAGTTGACTGATTTCATCTCTGTGCAGCTTCTCTGAGATGGCAAGCATGGGTGAAGGCCAGAGCCACACACTCGAAGGCTTTGATTCCTGTGGTTGCACCATCAAGAACCCAGCAGCCACCCTGTCTTCCTTATTCTACTAGGAACAGGCAGAGCACGAAGTATGCAAAACATCCAGGAAAAGATGGAAAAGACTCGAGGCTATGTTAGGAAGATGCTGTCACCACCTTCTGGAGCTCAGAGCTTATTTTCTCTACCAGGAAAAAAACCTCATGTTGGTTCAGCAATCCCCTCACTGCTACTGAGGTTTGAGCTTGTATTCATAGGAATGTCTAAAGAAAAGTCCCAATTTTTCTAATGAGTTTTGCCTGTCTCTTTTGTTCTGACAATTTACAAAGACTCTTAGAATATTATAGCTATTAACTCCATGTCATCTATAATGAAGATTTTCCCTCCTAAATATATCACTTATCTGTTAGCTTTGTTTGACAATATTACCTTTAAAAGTTTAAAATTTTGAATGAGTGAATTGGTCCATCTTTCTTCTATAATTTCTGATTTTCCAAACGGTTAAGCCCCTCCTCCCAGAAGCCCAGATGTAGATATACGTTTTCATCAAATATCTTTGTTTTTTAATATTTTATTATTTAATTCATGTAGTTTACCTTTATATATGATATAATGAAAATGAAGTTTTCCCAACTTAATATTCTTTCAGATAGATGCTCAGTTATGCCAGAACAATTTGTAAAGTACCCTGTTACTCCTAAATTAGAGTTCTTATGTGTCAAGTTATAAAATTTTCATGCACACTAACATCACTCTCTGAACCTTGTATTTTATTTCACTGATCAACTGCTGTATGATTACAATTTGTTCTGATTATCGAGGGTTTACATTACATTCAGATATTTGGAAAATTAAATTCTTTTACTTTCTTTTTCATATTTCTCTGAGGTCTGTAGTTTTCCATGTAAAATTTAGTACGGTATTATGTTATCCCCTCTCCCAATGTAACTGATGACAGTTCTATTTGAATTGCATTAAATTTATATATTACTTTATCAGATAGAAGATACCTATCAGATATAGGAGAGACTTTCCTATACTGAGTCTTCCCATCCAAGAATGCAAAATATCTATTTGCTTAGATCCTGTATCTTTAATCAAGATCTCAGTCAGGATCCTATATCTTTAATGGGCTTCTCTGGTGGCTCAGCTGGTGAAGAATCCACCTGCCATGCAGGAGACCTGGGTTCGATGCCTCAGTTGGGAGGATCCCCTGGAGAATGGAATGGTTACCCACTCCAGTATTTTGGCCATGAGAATTCCACGGGATCACAAAGAGTCGGGCACTACTGAGCAACTTTCATTTTCACTTCTGTATCTTTAATAGCCAGGGTACAACCTTTATAGCATTAATAGCTGTAAGACAACAATGAAACATCACCTCACACCTGTTACAGTGACTGCCATCAAAAAGACAGAGAGATAACAAGTGTTGGGAAGGATGAAGAGGAACAAGACTTCTTGTGCACTATTGGTGGGAATGTAAATTGATGGAGACACTATGGAAAACAGTATGGAATCTCTTCAAAAATTAAAATAACTGTACTTCATTTAGCTCTCTTCTAGGTTAATTTTTCTAGTTTAACTTTTATTAAGAAATATAGCATACAAACAAGAATGAATAAAAATATTTATCTATAAAATACTGTACTGTATTGTATAAAATACAAACAAGGACAGAACATTACCAATAGCCCCAAAGACCACTATGTACCCTCTCTGAAATCGTAACTCTCCATGGTAACACTACCCTAAATAACGTGTTAACTCTTCCCTCCTTTGCTGCTACTAGCAAGGTTAACTACTACCTCCTTTAAAAAGTAGTGTCAGTATTGAAATACTGATTAGTATTAAAATACTACTTTTTAAAGTCATTTATCTGTGTATCTCTAAATAATAAGCTGTTTAATTTTTCCTGGCTTTGAAATTTAAGTAAATGGAATTGTACTGAAGGGCTTATTCTGTGATTTGCTTCCCACCCCACTACACACAATTTCATGTTTGTAAGGATCATAACACACTGCTCTGTGGAACTGTGGCTTCTTCATTTTTACTCCTGAGTAATACTTTATGGAATAGATATGCTACAATTTAAATACCCTTTTCTATCATTGATGAATATTCAGACTGTTCTCATTTTTGCTATTAAAAGCAATACAATGGCCCACAGCCAAATCCAGCTGCCTTTATATGGGCCATAGTTAAGAATGGTTTTTACATTTTTAAAGAAGTGAAAAGTATAAGCCTCACTCATACATTCTCTTTAACCTTAAATGAAACGGTCTTTTAACAGAAACAATTATTAGTCAATCATATTAAGTGCAATAATTGGTATGTTTTATATTTTTTCATCCAAGCAACTTTACACTTAACACTTACATATTAAGCAATACTTATATTTCAACTCTTTTTCCCTCACATTTTCAGTTTTGGACAAGCTGTTCTTTCTTTCTTTCACCACCCCCCCCCCCCCCCTCGCTAATTGGGAATTATGAAGGAGAGGTGCTCTTTTAATCTTTCAGTCACTTCAGTTCAGTCGCTCAGTCGTGTCCGACTCTTTGTGACCCCATGAACCACAGCACGCCAGGTCTCCCTGTCTATCACCAACTCCCAGAGTTTACTCAAACCCATGCCCATCGAGTCGGTGATGCCATCCACCATCTCATCCTCTGTCGTCCCCTTCTCCTCCTGCCCCCAATCCCTCCCAGCATCAGGGTCTTTTCCAATGAGTCTACTCTCCGCATCAGGTGGCCAAAGTATTGGAGTTTCAGCTTCAGCATCAGTCCTTCCAATGAACACCCAGGACTCATCTCCTTTAGGATAGATTGGTTGGATCTCCTTGCAGTCCAAGGGACTCTCAAGAGTCTTCTCCAACACCACAGTTCAAAAGCATCAATTCTTCGGTGCTCAGCTTTCTTCACAGTCCAGCTTTAAATCTTTAAATACTAGCAAATTTCTTTCTTTCATCAGGACAGGCAAATTCCCTCTGGGGTGGATACAGGGTCTTGAATCATTTTCCTTTTTATTCCCACTGGTATGTGCAATGATCCCTATGCCCCCTACTCCCAGTGTTGCCTGATGCTGGTCTAATAATTTTACCTCCGTAAGCACATTTGCTTCTTTGCTTTGATTTTGGCCTGGTATTTTATAAGATTTTTACTTTATGTTTGTGATTAGAATTTTCCCAGGCTATGTCTGAGTATGGGAATTTTTTTAATTCCTCTCACTTGGAACAAATTGGCTAAGACCTTTCAAATATGAGGTGCAGATATTTTTGAGCTGTCAATTTCTTCTATTTTGTGCAATATGTATCTTATCCTGTACTGTCTTTTCTCCTTCTATTACAATTTTTATATTTGGTCTCTCTCATGATTTTTATTTTTTATTTTTTACTCTGTCATTTGAGAATTACTTTGGGACATTTCTTATGCTTAATCGGTTACATCACCAATTTGAGTCTCAGCAATAACCATCCTTTCCTCTTCAAAGCCTCTACTGAAATTTTAAATTTTAAAATAAATATTTTTGCTGTTTTGTTAATTTGCTTAAGATGTCATTTTAAAGCCATGCTTGAAAATCTTTATTTTCATTTATTTCTTTTTTGTTGTTTGTCATCTGTTTGTTCTGCTTTTTTCCAAAGCTCTCTGAGATGTGCTCTTTTTCTGTTCACTAGGTCTTAGGTCAGTTCCCAGGTATGACTTGTGAAGATAAACACAGCAGGTTCTGGATCCATAGGTCCTCAGCTACTCAGCAGGCAGGCTGCGGTTCCTGGGAGGAATCAGGAGAAAGCCCCTGTCTTGTCCTCCCTACTTTCCTTTAGATTTCTCCCTTCAGAGATGAAGAGGACGCCACTGCCTTCATTCCAAAATCCATTATTTCCTAAAGGTTCAGTACTCCCATAGCTACTACATTCAGCATCTAACCATGACCACTCTCCCTCCACCAAAAAACCCCAAACAACGGCCTAGCACAAGCTCTCACTCACAGCAGCTCTCCCTAGACTCTTCATATGTACCCGTGGTTTGCAGGAATACAAAAAAAAGTCAGACCTCATTCATACTTCCCTACTCCTAGTCAAAAATCCAGCCAACGAAAGTAGATGAGTTTCAAGGGGGATGGTAAGGGAAGAGTCTTTCAATATACCATCTATACAGAATTCATATAAACTGTTTTTGAAATTTAAAAAATAAAACCCCCCATGAGAATGAAAACTTTCTCCAATCCTTAGGGGAAAAAAAGGCTATACTTAGGGAAAATAAAGTCATTTCTAGACTATTAAAATACCAGCATAACATTAACATTGCAGAGCTCATATACCTTTTTCTAGCTCCACTGGGAAAAGTTCCAGCTTTTCTACCCGTTTTTCAAGTTCATACTCAGCCGAAGCAGCTACGGGGTCAACTTCATCATTCCTCCTGTCATAGTCTTCGTTGGAGTATGTGCTGAAGACCTGTAATAACATGTCAACAATAAGATGAAAATCCAGAAAAGACAGCTTTCTTAATTTAAAAAAAAATCTAAGTATCCAAAACTACATAAGTTAAAAATTTTGTATGAAGAATTTCTTCTAAACAACTGTTTTGTCATCAAATCAATAGAGATGTTAGGAAAAGGAAAACTGAATCAGAATAAAAGTAACTCACTAATTTAAAAAATGTACCACTTTTAATAATTTGAGAGACAACAGTAGCCAACAGCTAATCATTATATGGTTATCAATATTTATCACCTTTTACAGAATCAGGGTATACCATATTAACTGCAATAAAACTAAGGTAAAGCATCTAGAGCATGCTACTAGAGCAAACACCCACACTGAATCCATTTCATGCTATGACCTGTAAAAGCCCTGGTGTTGTAGTGTGCTGGAACTAGAATTATATTTGAAACACAAAATCACTGAAACTGACTTATATTCTATACTGTACCAGGCTGTGTTAAGCTCTCATTTGTCATCTCTCATTTTACTTGCATGCAAATATAAATTAAATTCTCACTGAACATTTTAATGAAATGACTATCAAAATATTGCTCAAGATCTGCAAAACAAACAGACTACTGGTAGGTCTTTCTTCCTGACCTAAGTCATTCAAAAGATCATTATATGTGGTCTTTCAATGCAGCCATAAGAAACTGTCCTCATTTCTGCTGAAGTATCTGATTTATTTTAAAAGCAACTGGAAGTTGGTATATAGTCCCTCACTTAATACATTGAAGAATGTTTAAAAGAAAGAAATATATAATTCATCAAACCAAATTAATTTGCATGATAAAAACTTAATTCTAAAACTAATTTCAATTAAATTCAACAGTTATGAAGTATTCAAACAGTGCCTGACAAAACTCTGTCATGTCCTCCAAAATTAAAAATCTCAGAGTGACCAGTTTTTTGAAAAATATACATAAAAAGTCATAATAAATGTAGAAAGCAGGACTGAAGGTCAGAGATAGAAGAAATCAAGTCTATTGTATATAAAAGTTGGCCCTGCTAGTTCAGATGTGCTTTACATTCATATTACTGGAAAACTGGCAGCTCTTACATGCTATATATGGTAATCTATAAACCAGAAATACATATTGGATACATAGAAACAGATGTAGTGTGGTTCCTAATTCTACATATTTCTCAAAATCATGTCATTTATTTTTTGTTCCTGACTTTCAACGTGTTTTCATAGCTATGCACCATTCAGAGATGGTCTCCACCACATTTCTCCACCACAATAAACATTTCTGCATCAAAGGGAACACTTCTAGACAAGGGGGTTTGTATCTTTTAAATTAATCTTTTCACAAAATATGCTTCCTATGCCCCTTCCATAGAACCTTCTAGTGTTTTTTGTAAAATGTCAGGTTTATTACTTTCTCTTAGACAGCCTTTTTCATCTTTTACTTCTCTTATATGTTTTGGTAATCATTAATTCATATATATTCATGTTTCAAAAAATTATACAGTACCAGCTTTATGCCAGACATTATGGTAGACACAGAAGAAGGCATAATCTCAAGAAGCTCACAGTTTAGTAGGGACACAGAAATAAAAATAAACAACTACCATATATGTGATAACTGATATAACAAAGGAATGTACCAAGCAATTTTTTTATGGTTCAGAAAAAGGGAAGAATTCCATGGAAGGGAACTATCTGAGCCGAATCCTAAAGAATAAACCAGGATTCATATATTCAAATGTAGAAGAGGTAAAATGTATATTTCAAATATAAGACACTAGAAAAAATCTGTATCTTTTGGAAAACATGGACAATTGAATGGATCACAAAATAGCATGCCTACAGAAACAAACTTTAATAACACACACAAAAAAGTAACTGGATCTGGAACATACATGTCCTGAAAACTACTGGCAGTGGTGACTAGAAATTATTTCATTAATGTCTGCCACTCTACTTCTGCTAATAGGTTCAGTTATATGATTGCTAAACAAGGATTCAAATGATATTCATACTAAACATAATACTCCTGCATTTAATTTGTGAATAAAAGAACATATATGTATTTTTATATATGTGTACGTGTGAGTGTATACAGTGGAAGTGAGAAATAGATTTAAGGGACTAGATCTGATAGACAGATTGCCTGATGAACTATGGATGGAGGTTCATGATATTGTACAGGAGACAGGGATCAAGACCATCCTCAAGAAAAAGAAATGCAAAAAAGCAAAATGGCTATCTGAGAGGCATCACAAATATCTATGAAAAGAAGAGAAGTGAAAAGCAAAGGAGAAAAGGAAAGATACACCCATTTGAATGCAGAGTTCCAAAGAATACAACCAACCTAGACAGCATATTAAAAAGCAGAGACATTACTTTGCCAACAAAGGTCCGTCTAGTCAAGGCTATGATTTTTCCAGTAGTCAAGTATGGATGTGAGAGTTGGGACTATAAAGAAAGCTGAGTGCAGAAGAATTGATGCTTTTGAACTGTGGTGTTGGAGAAGACTTTTGAGAGTCCCTTGGACTGCAAGGAGATCAACCAGTCCATCCTAAAGGAGATCAGTCCTGGGTGTTCATTGGAAGGACAGATGTTGAAGCTGAAACTCCAATACTTTGGCCACCTGATGGGAAGAGCTGACTCACTGGAAAAGACCCTGATGCTGGGAAAGATTGAGGATGGGAGGAGAAGGGGACGACAGGTGAGGATGGACGACAGGATGAGATGGTTGGATGACATCACCAACTCAATGAACATGGGTTTGGGTGGACTCCAGGAGTTGGTGGTGGACAGGGAGGCCTGGTGTGCTGCGGTTCATGGGGTCCCAAAGAGTTGGACACGACAGAGCAACTGAACTGAACTGAACTGTGTGTATATACAGACACACCTTCTAGCAAATATTCTTTCCCAATAAGGCTGGTTTATAAAGTTCATTTAGGGATATCCCAAAATTAAATAAAACAAACAGAAAACTAACTATATAACTACAGATTGGAAAATAATATTTTAAATAATGTTTGAGGCATATCAATCAGATGACCATATCACCATTTCATTCTGTAGAGAACAAATAATATAATATACTTTTCATCCTCAGCTTAATCATTGTCTGGTATATTTTGTGGGCACATAAGCAAACCCTTATAAATACATGAAAAAAAAAGGCCAGAACTCATTATTTGCGAATTAAGCTTGTGTTTACCTGGAAAATCCAAGAGGTTAAACAGAAAACTTTAGAACTAACAAGAGTTCAATGATTTTTACATTCCCTCAATCATGTAAAAAAAATCATTCTCTTAAACTTATACAAGCCAAACTTGGGCTATTGCTACTACAAATGAAGAGGACAATTACAAGAAAAGTAAGTGTGTTTCTAGAAATGTAGTTCCCTAACTATTATATCTGTGATAATTTATCATACAACCTCAAATTTATTCTGAGACCTACAGATAGAAAATACTAATGTCGTTTTAAAGAAATAAAACAATGTTGTCTTGCCTTTGGGAAAAAAAGAGTTGAGTGAAAACAGAATTTGAAAACTAACCAGAAAATCCATAGTAATTTTAGAAAATGTAATAGACAAGATGAGAAATTATAAAATATTCAAGACTTAGTGATTATAAATGTGCAAGGATATCCTTATCTATAAAACGTAACTGAAAAATTTAAAAAGCCCTGAGTAAGTATAATGCCATGCTATATTCTTGGATTAAAATCCTTAATATTGTAAAATCATCTATGATCCTAAACTATTGTAAATGTCTGTCTGCCCCAATTTAATTTATGAATACAGGGCAATCAAAATAGAAATTCCACTAACATTATTCCTGGAAACTAGCAAGCTGCTTGCGAACAAAGAATAAGAATGGAAACAGACCTTATCAGATATCAGAAGATATAATAAAACCTCATTTATTAAGGCAATATACTTTGACCAAAGACAGATCTATTTCTGTACTTTCCGTTTCACTCCTGTACCTTTCTATTCAAATTAGTTTGGGAGATCTATTCAAAAAATAGTAGGGAAAGAATGAGATATCCTCTTGAGGAAAAAAATTCCTATTTCATATGATTAACAAAAGTAAACTTCACATTGGCTAAGAACAAAACAAATTATAAATTATTAAACTGCTCAAGTTCAAACTACCGAACAATTACATTCATTTCTCATGCTAGTAAGGTTATACTCAAAGCCCTTCAAGTTAGGCTTCAGCAGCACATGTGGCAAGAACTTCCAGTTGTAGAAGCTGGGTTTAGAAAAGGTAGAGGAACCGGGAACAAACTGTCAACATTCGCTGGACGACAGAGTAAGCAAAGGAATTCCAGAAAAACAATCATTTCTGCTTCATCGACTATGAGAAAGTCTTCGACTACGTGGATCATAACAAACCATGGAAAATCCGTAAAACAGATGGGAATATCAGACCACCTTGCCTGTTTCCTGAGAAACCTGTATGCGGGGCAAGAAGCAACAGTTAGAACCTTCCATGGAACAAATGACTGGTCAAGACTGGGAAAGGACTAAGACAAGGCTGTATATTGTCACTCTGCTTATTTCACTTATAAGCAGAGTACATCATGAGAAATGCCAGGCTGGATGAGCCACAAGCTGAAATCAAGATTGCTGGGAGAAATATCAACAGCTTCGGATATGCAGGTGATACCATTCTAATGGCAGAGAAGAGGAACTAAAGAGCCTCTCAATGAGGGTAAAAGAGGAGAGTGAAAAAGCTGGCTTAAAACTCAACATTAAAAAAACTAAGATCATAGCATTTGGTCCCATCATTTCATAGCAAATAGATGGGGAAAAAGTGGAAACAGTGACAGATTTTCTTTTCTTAAGCTCCAAGATCATTGCAGATGGTAACTGCAACCATGAAATTAAAAGATGCTTGCTTCATGGAAGGAAAACTATGACAAACCTAGACAGAGTATTAGAAAGCAAAGACATCACTATGCTGACAAAGGTTCCATCTAGTCAAAGCCATTGTTCTTC